TGTCCGAAAGAAAAGTGCTTTAAATGTATGATTGTGGAACTATCGACGCATATTATATAATATATTGCTTACATTAGCAAAGTGGGGACGGCGTTAGGCGTTACGGTGGCTGATGCGTGGTTCCTTAGGCTAAAATTTGGGTTTAGCCCTAACTTAAGTACCATAGCCTATGGGGCTAGGCTATGGACAAGAGTAGATAATAACACAAGAGGTTGACACACCCGGGGCCGTTTCACGAAGCTGTACTGAACTTAAGCTATAATGAAATCACTACCGGGGTAATCATGACTTAACGTTCCCGTAATTATGATTTTAAGATTAGCTTAATCATACCAAAAAATCTGTTTCACGAAGCGATTTACAGTGCCATATCTTAACTAATCACATAATTAGCCGACTTCAACATGAATAGACGTGGTACTCGCCCTCCCCTCTTCGGCTTAGTTACTCGATGGGAATCGAGTAATGAGGTGGCGAGCGAGTACCAGTCTAAAACAAATTACACGGAGGTACCGGTATTCAATATGGGACCAGTACGCCAAAAATATCTTCAAGTTTCAGCTACATGAAAGAGGAATTAATTTGTAATATAATGATTGAAGTAGGTACAGCAAATCTTTAGAATAATTTAAAATTTCCTTGGCGAAAAAAGTGAAGTAAATTTCCAATTGGGAAAAAAATTTTCTGCAGCGTACTTAAATATACAGTACTACCTACTTCTAAGTTCTACTAGCAACTAATTATGATTAGTGGATTTAATCATGCTCCTGAGTAGAAGTTAAATAGTGTGATTAAACTTAATCATGATTAAAGTTCTAATTTACGCTTCGTGAAAACAAGTCACTTTAATTTTAAGTAGCGAGAAGTTAATCATGATTAGTGATTTAAATGCACGATTCAATACTTAAGTACGGCTTCGTGAAACCGGCCCTGATTCCCGCATTTTTAACCGATTTTTCTCATCAAAAATTTGGCCCACCAATTAAAGAAGGCAAGCTTGTATACGTCCTCAGCATATCTTATGACCACTAATCACTCACCTTTCGTGGTACTGATATTCGTTTACATATATTTTGCTAGCGTATTGGGTTCAAGGATAGAGATGATGTCCAGTACCGGTGATTGGATAGGATGATGTTAGTTGATAAGGATAGGACTGGACATGTTCTATCCCTGAGCCGGCGTTATTGCCTGTAAATTCGTAATCTTCAACGAGCTGAATTCGCACAATTTATCCGCTATTGTGTTAGCAGGTGTTAAAAGCCAAATTTGAAAGCGTATAGTGGCAGGCGTGGATTTAGGGCCGGTTTGCCACCGGTTTTCCAGAAACCGATCACAGGGCTGAGTGATCTTCAAAATTGACCCTCAAAATTCATCAGATGCACCCAAATATAGCCTTGGTTTTTTTTTTAATCCCGGGGGGGGGCGGCATTTACCCTGGCATTCTCCTAGCTGTGACTAGAAACTTATGGAAACTCGTCAACCCAAATCATCTGCGATCTGCCCCTATCTCATCTATCCTATACCGATAACGTGCCCCACCACTTCACTGCCAGTTGCAGGTCAGCAAAAACGAATACGATTCGCTGTGTTGCCAGTATTGGTTACATAATTAACGATATTTTAATTATTTTTACAGCTCACTATTTTGAAGGATACATCATGAAAAACGGATAAATGCTTGTGAGGGCTGCCTGCTTAGAAAGTAGTGCATTCGTTTCAGCACGCACGGCAAGCACACACGCACGCACCGCAACGCACGCACAACCAGGGAAAACCTTGTTAACATAATCTAGGATGAGAATGTGAATCTTTACTCGTACATTCAACGTGGGTTCGCTTGGGTATTACTGACTTAGACATAATATAAAAAGTACGCACGTTGTTCCTTCGTCGCTGTGACCAGGCGCCATACCCTAAGGAAACCATGGCAATGCCACGATTCTTGCCCATGAAGTTCCGCAGATTTCTTCTGCGCTGGTAGATGGCAGGCGTACTCCACCTACACAGATGAAATAATGCCAACGTTGCTGATGAAAGACTGCTGCTCAATCTCGATTGAGAATTTGAATTACGAGTTCCAAATCAGCTACGACGACAAAAATATATTCTCAATAACTCTTATCTACTGCCCTCTAAATTCCCTGATGATTATATAATAAAATTATGTAATTAATAATGATTAATCATGAGTAAGTAAGTACTCTGAAGTTATTATCAAAACAATCCTAATAATAGAATTATCAAATAATAATTTTATAAAAATATAATAATAACTCATACTGATATCAATAGGCCACAAATGAGGAAAAACTGAATACTCGTACCAAACTCCGCTTCGCATAAACGATTTTTTTTATTGAGAGCCGTATCCAATTAAGTGCCTGTTGATCTTGTGCGGTTGGTCGGAAGAGAACGATGGAAAAACAAATGTGTACGGTGTGTCTGAGTGCCGCCGGGCGCGTGTGTGTTGTGTATCGCCTCGCTCGTCCCATAGCCCTCCCTCGTCCCCCTCGCTCTACCATCCTCTCCTGCTTCCTATTCGCCCCTCCTCCACCTTTTCTCCGAATAAAGATGAGCAGAGAACAGGGTGCTCAATGTACTTGTACCGTGCTGAGCTTGGTTTCTGAATTGTCATGGCCAGCGGCGTTGCATTGTGAAGAGTAATTTTAAAAATCGGACATATTGGTTCCGCTTTGCAATCTTTTTGAAATCGAACAACGGGCTCGCTATCCAAACATTTTATTTAGACGGACATTAGCAAGATAAACATTCGACTAAACTGACTTCCGCGCATAGCTCTATTAGCGTTATTGACGAATGTGTTCTCGACAAAGGGCTCCGGGATAACCTACATGCAACGATGGTGTTGCAATAGCTGCTCCGTGTAAGCAATGCGCGGCATGACCATAGCTCAAAACAAACATTCGCCTGCACAGTGGCTTCGTAGTATTGCTCGATGTTGTCATTCTTAAGAATACATCGTTCACAAGTATCGTTTGCAAGAATACATCGTTAACGAGTGTCGTTCGCAAGAATACATCGTTCACGAGTATCGTTCGCAAGAATACATCGTTCACGAGTATCGTTTGCAAGAATACATCGTTCACAAGTATCGTTTGCAAGAATACATCGTTAACGAGTGTCGTTCACAAGAATACATCGTTTACGAGTATCGTTCGCAAGAAAAACTAAGCCAAGAAATGTTGCTACGCTACCTGCTCATCTACACTCTGATGATGTCAACCTGTGCACTGGCAACGAACAACCCCTCGACCTCATCAGTCTGCAAAATTCCGCCTGCCACTAACAGCAGCAGAGTTATACTGCAGCATGGAGTTAGAACCCGCTATGGAGTGGAACAACTAAATGGCTTGCACATGAACGTGGGATTCTACACTCCGCAAATTTTGGCAGACGATACTTCGTTAGTACTGTGTTCGAAGACGTTGTTAACGGACTTGAGCAAGTACCTGAATTTTACATTTACACTTCATATTCGACATACGGCGCAGGACGAATTGACTGCAATGAAGAATGGATCGTTGGACCTAGACATTTCTATGTTCATCAGAACACACCAGCGTGCGCGCAGCATGAAATTCCTTAGACCACTACTCGATAGTTACTATGTGGTAATTATTAAAAGGCCACGTGAGAAAAAGACCATGTTTAACATTCTCGATCCATTTGATACCTATATCTGGCTATGCATGGTCGCATATTCACTTATAACAGCAGCCACTATGACGGCTATCGAGAGAATGTCACAAAGGAGCAATGGTCTACAGGAAAATGAGGAAACTGCGCAAGGAATATTTTACCATTTGGGCTACATGTTTGGATCATTCCTACAGCAGGGTGGAGTTAGTTTGCCTCTCCATCTTCCATCTAGAATATTACTATCTATATGGTGGTTCTTTGCTCTTTCTATCTGCGCACTGTACACTGGTAATCTGTTTAGCTTTCTTACAGTGAAGCCAACAATTCAGTATCCGTTTAGGACACTAAACGAGTTCGCCCATCACCCAACGATCATCCCAACAGCCCTGGAAGGGTGGGCAATATTGGATAAGATGCAGCAACAACCTTCAGAATCTGATCTTGGAAAAATGTGGCAGAAAATGTCCGGAGATAGTCGGGCGGTAGTCAGCAACATAGACGCAGCGATAGAACTAGTCGTCACGGGAAACTATGGATTTATCAAAAATGTAATAGGCGCTGAGGATATTTGTCGTCTAGACTATGAATCAACTGGAACTTGCAGACTAGTTATTGCGCCGTTAAAAATTCCAGCAAACACCAGGTCATGGATCGTACCACTTAATAGCACACACGCACACGCCATCAACAATGGTCTACAGTCGTACATGGAAAGCGGTCTCTTCGAGCTGCTCCGCAAGCGGATCTTTTCACACGGAATACCCACATGCTCGCAGGAGATGGGAACAGGAATTCAAGCACAGAGTCTTGACCTAGAAACAATGTATGGTATAATGCTTGTGCTAGCGATAGGATTACCCAGTTCTCTGGCTTTCTTCCTACTGGAGGTTATCATAGTGAAGTGGAAGAGAAACGCGGGGCGGTTATGTTGCACAGTGTAGTAAGGTGTATTCATATAGCACGTGAGGTCCTTGTCTTTGTTTAGTACTATACACACACACACATACACACACACACACGGCAATCAGCAGAGCGTCCCGTTGCGCAATAATGCGTGTGCGTGTCGCAACATCACTATGTGAGATGGATGTCCGGACGCGTAGACCAGCGGCTCCTCGTCCGGAACCGGTCGCGTAGACACGACCTTTATGAAGTTTATCGAAACGCTCCAAGTGCCAAGTGCCTGTGCGGGCTGTGGTCGACGCGACGGGACGCGACGCGATTAAACTTTGGAGTAAATTTTGTAGTCAATCAAACGAACATACGCCGAGAAATAGGCAACTAACACGACATTTGTTGATTCCTGCCATGCGTTATAATTACTACGGAAATCTTACCGAGCTAAAGTCACATCAGCATCACACTGCCCGAAATGTAGTTTGTTTCCGCCTCCACCAAACAATATGGTCGTGACTCATGACATCACGAGATAGACTGGTACCCGGTTCCACCTCTCGGCTTAGTTACTCGATGGATGGGTAATCAGATGGATAGTACGCATCGAGTAACTAAGCCGAGAGGTGGGTCCGGGTACCAGTCTAATCACGACAGGACAGTGGGAAAACCCGAAAGCGCCGGAACCTAGATTTCCGAAACGAACATCCGCGCTCGTAGAACTGTTTAGATAGACTTGTGAACACAGGTATACTCATAGATACCGATCCATACACATATCTATCTATCTATTTATCTATCTACCTATCTATCTATCTATTTATCTATCTATCTATCTATCTACCTATCTATCTATCTATCTATCTATCTATCTATCTATCTATCTATCTATCTATCTATCTATCTATCTACCTATCTATCTATCTATCTATCTATCTA